ATCAATATCGATCAGTTAATGCGGGCCAAAAAGTTGACATCTGACGCAAGCATTAATCTGAGGCACAACATATATAAAACATTCTTTGTAAATTCTTTCAATAAAGTTATGCATGTGATTAATGATTAACTATATCTATCCAACAAGCAGAATTGGCAATGCAACCAATAAAGCCAATGGAGAATCTCAATGGAGCTAATGAAACCAATGGAGAATCTCAATGGAGCTACTAAAACCAATGGAGATCTCAATAGAGTCTAATGAAACTTACGTATATATTGAGCTTTTTTCTCAATGATAGCAAAATTGCCAACCCCGCAAACAGGTTATACAAATAATGAACCATTCACGAGCAGAAAAATAGAAAACTATATGTAAATAATCAAGTTACTCAAAAATTTTTATTGAAAACCTAACTGACAATATTACAACTATTACTCATATAATATAACAAAGCGATTTTTTGTCTAATCAATATATTTCGTCGGATCTGTGTAGCATATGAAGGTGACACTTACTCTTGTTTTTATCGTATGAATGGAATGATACCAAAAGAAGATTTGTATATCTAAACACATAAAGGATTTTGTACCAATCCAAAGAATCGGTTGTAACGTTCTTTTTAAAAATATGTATTTTATTAAATACCTTTTGAGAGCTTACATACTGTTGTATAAAATTTCTATGTTTAGATACTGATTTTCTTTTAGTGGCTCTCATATAATATTCAAAATTTACTGGCTCAATGACTATTTAATGGAGCTTGTCGAACTTGGTGTATCATCTTCATGGACATTATTCAGACAAGAAATTTATTAGAATAAGTGTATCTGTTTTCCATAACAAGACAACACGTCCCAAATGCCATAAATAGGAGTACCCTTTGATAATAGATTAGATCCACGTGTGAACCACGGGGTCTTATTAATAAAAACTTTTTTTTAAAATAGCGATAATACCCATTATAAATGTAAGTGTAATGCACTTTAAAATTTTTATTTCCTTTAATGATATAGCCTCTTACCCGTGTACTATAGCCGGGACTTATTAAAGGTTTTAAAATTTGTGAAATAAAATAGTATTTAACAAAAAAAGATTATCATATTCGAAGCGTGCATGATCTGCATGGTCGACGAAGTTTCTTAAATAGGTATACAAGTAAACATTCGAACTTAATTAAATCTTAACAATTTACGAATCAAAAATTTGAAATATTGAGCTTTAAAGTTAAAATCCTCTTAATAATATATATTTTCTTTCTTAGAAGAATGCTTATAGTAGATCACGATTTACCTACTCTCTATCCATGCGTCCATACAAAGCCGCCGTGTATACTGTCACAATTATTTTTTATGCTGTAGAATTCTTGAATAGAATTATATTACTTGATTCGAATATAGATGATAACCTATTTTATTGGATTCCTTTTTCATATGGAACGATTTCGGACTCAAATTTGAATACTTAAATAAGAAAACAATTGGATCAACATTACTATCACCAAATTATCGCGATTGCACAGTATAAAGCATTCATTGAAATCTCATTTAGTGATAGTTTAATTCGTAGCTTTTAAAGTAAAAAAAATAAAAAAACCTTAAAACCATAAATCTTATATCATAGCATTTTCCTTGTTGAATTGTCTCTTATTACTGCATTATGAATGAGTCTTTCTTTGACATTTTTGGAAAAATATGATAAAACTTTAGAATTGTACGGTGTACAATGAAAATTTTAGCGCACAATAGTACAGTACGTCTATATAGCATTACGTGGCGCATACTTAGGCAGAGCTGGAAGGATAATCATTAGTATTAGCAAAGAAACAGGAGAAACCGTCCAAATATAGATATGATTTTCATTCTCCGTTACACAGATCACTATTGTATCGACCAGTCAAATATCACTACGGGATTAGTCAACCAATCAAATTGCGAATTTACAAAAAGACGAAACCATGGGATTCAAGGGGATTCAAAAAATATGTTGTAAAGCAAAGTTGTTTTTTTAACAAATTTTAATATTCGCAAAAAAGATAAGTCAAGCGAGCCATCCAAAAAAGTATTGTAAAATAATATAAAAAATTTTTCATCAATTGTGTAACGATTTTGTGATGTATCAACGGTTCCTCCTGTTTAGCAAAGATAGAAACCATCGATGACTAGTAATAATTTATAATTTTGTACAGCATCTTGTGTAATAACGATAATGGAAAATTTATGGAACTGCAGCATCGGCATTTCCATACTGTATTGTGGTAATCAAGCGCAATTTTTGAAATCAACAATATGAAACTTAGCAAATTATTTCTGTATATTGAGCGATTATAAAAAAATGAGAAAAACTATATAATATATAAAATATATGCATCCAGTATAAGTGCAATTAGGATGTTGCCTATGGATGGTACAAAAATAAATAAATTAATTTAAATATATAAACGTCCGAAGAGTAAACATACATAGATAAAATTATACTTTGTGTACCTTTAGCATTCTCTTTAAAGTAGTGTAGACTTCTTAAAGTTTATTTTATTTTATGAATCATTTACTAGTATAAAGTGAATTAGTTTTGTTTTTATTATATTTTAGAACCGGTTTTTAATAGTGTTAAAGATATGAAGAATAAAATCTGTACTGAAGTTAACTTTAATCTTCACAAAATTAAAAAAAGAATTTCATTAAAACGGATGGCATTAAAGGAATCCGATGTATATAATTTAACGATTTTTCTTTCAATTTACAAATAAGAGATTACTACATATGTAAATTACAACACCAAACCTACAATACAACCTATAAAATGCCTACACATTATCACTATTGCCTCTATAGTATTTCATTTGAATTTCTTATTTTGTTAAACACATTATTGGCGATCTACCAAATTTGTTCATAAATCATTCTGCAAATCGCAAACAATTCATGAAATGTGCTATTGCTGTTTTCGATTTGTTACCTGGGTGTTTGATCATTTCGTGATACGTACAAAATTTTATTTGTCTATTCTGAAACCAACTTAAATTTATTTAATTTACAATATTAAATAATATATTTAAAAATTTATTTAACAATCGATTAACTTTTAAAATACTGTATTGTATTACTTTTGAATAATTGAATTTTTAAACTCAAGACTACAATGTTAATCCATCCACATTTTTAAGCAAAATGTTGGAATCATTTTTTTTTAACATTGTACTAATTCGCTCCAGTTCTCGTAAGACCCAAATAATTATTCATATTTGCTTTGATCTCCAGATTCGGGACTTACCAACTAGGCTAATTTTGACTATCGGTCCTTTTTTTTTTGCCCATTAAAACCGATAAAATCTTATTAAATATCCCATATACTATAATTCTTTGTTGGATATAAACAGTCAATTGGTGTGTACGTCTGTACATGCCCCGCACAAACTATGAACTCTTAAATCCTTCCAAATTCGAATCCAAACCTCATATCCAATCACAAATGTAATAAAATTGGGATTTGGGATTTGAGACGAGTTTTTGTGTGTACGTCACTTGAAGTACTTAAATTTAAAAAATTGCATATTAGAACTCGCGTCCAACCGATTGCTCTTTTGTTAATTAAATCAAAAAAAATATCAACCACTATGTACATTTATTTATACCGATCTCAATAAGCGATTTAAATATTGGGTACAGTCGAAATTAGCATAGTTGCAAATTTATACTAATAAAAAAGCTTAAAAGACAAAATATGCAAATAATAAAGATGTTAAAAAGGTACTCAAGAAATGAGTTCCGCAAAATATAATGAACTTAAGTGATTACCTATGTCGTAATCTTGGGGCTCACAACAAACCTTTATATTACGAATCGATCAATATCCAGGTAAATCGAAAACACGATAATGAATTGCATAGTTTTTTCTCTAAAAATATACATCAAATAATAAATGGATCTTTTTTTATACGACTCTATGAGAACGTTCATATTTTTTAATAGTTCATGTCATGGCAATTGTGAATAGAAAACATTGCGCCTTAAGATACATTTTTTGGTCATGCGCACTAATAAACATCAAAGTTTCATGATAAATTAGGAATAAGATTGATACTTTGTGTAGCAAATGTGAGGATTGATTAAATGTATTACCCGTAAATATTTGTGTAGTAATGTGATTAAATGACGCTCTTTTAGTACAGTTTTAGATATTTATAGATTAAGTAAAGTTCTAATAAATGAATGAAACTAAATAATCTACTGTGTGTGATAGATCATTGTAATTTTTAAAAAATTTCAAAAAAAAAAAAAAAAAGCATCAAGCATTTAAGAAAAAAGAAGCTGATAATTCGTATTTTTCAGCAACGTTTCATTTTCTAAAATTACACTACCAAATATGTGGACATTTTTTGCCACATATCAGCTATGACGTATGTACTGTACATACGTACGCTTTTTCTGTAACAATTATTATTTTTACAATGGCTATTTATAGCTAATGCATAACACAATTCTAAGTTGTTTAGCTTATAGTTTACATGGCCGAATAATGAACAATGGTCTATAAAATAAGGTTCGATGATGACATAATAAAACGAGTTTCAAACCCTAATAAGGAAAAAAATTAGACAATGATATGAGGGCGGCCACTGTTGTGTAATTTTGACCCTGCATTGCATATTGTGCATATTACTGTATTGAATATTTGGTGGCACCACCCACATGAACCTAAAATCAGTGGCCGCCCCGGACGATAGTTAATATTTCTGTAAAGTTAATTTGGATAAATTTGAAAGCGTATTATAGACAATTTTTAATTGATAGCCCCGTATTGTTGTAACAGTTGTTTTAAATTAAAGCAATATCAAAGTATAGACTTGCGTGAGTAGTATTTTATTATTAATATTTTCATTTCTTATTTTAAATTTGTTAAATAACAAAATTATTAGTAAAATGTCAATAGAAGTAAATTTTATTTGTACGTATTAATAATGAAAACGATCATTTATAATATTAGTATTTCATTAATTATAATTTCTTTGATTGTATCAAACACGAGGACTATGTTCCCTGATCTACACTAATATTAAAAGATTTCATATTCTATATAATTTACATTTTTGAATAATATGTGGCCTAATTCAATTTTTCAACGTTTCAGAACTCCTAAATCATCGAACAATAATGGTAATAACTTTATTATTTAAATAGCCAAATAAATAAATAAATGTTACTTTTTATGACTTTACAATATAATTAAATTAAGTATCGACTTACTGTAAATATTATTAGAAGTTATACTATTATTTAATAATTTGTAAACCTTTTTCCTTTGTTTTACAATTTGAAAAGATAAGACTTTACAAATCTGTAATAAAACGTATATAACGTGAGTAGAATCTAAATGACATTGCATTTTTGGATTACTAGATTTTACTAAAAACTTTTACACGTTAGGCTTTATCACTTAAACTATACTTATGGTTTGAAACCAAAAAAGGTGCAGTTTTTCAAAATTCAAGTTTGAATCACATTTTCGAGCTTCGGTTTCCTGAAACCTAAATATAGTATTGATTACAGTTGTTTTCGTAAATTCTAGAACAACAGAAAAATTTGCTGATGATCAAATTGATAGATTTCTGAGTTCGGCCGAAATCTGTAATCTATAACATTTGGTAATCAGTAAATTTTCGAGTGAACTAGTGATGCCAAAATTTGGCGGTACTATTGAGTTCTAGATATAAATGGGTCGACGAAATAATTTTCGAGACGCAAATTTACTCGGAGATCAACGGTACCATCAAATTTTACATAATAATACGAACACATAGTGATACATAGTGATGCATA